AATTCAGATACAAATTCAGAATACGGGCCAGGAGCACGGTACACTATAACAAATAAAAGTGGCTGCGAGGTTTTCCAGGTCGGATGTAAAACACTAAGAACGAGGCTTTCAAATGAATTATAATCTAGTTTAGGTTTAGGGCTGATTAACAGACTAGAGTTAAAAATGGCTGCAACTCCCCCTCCTCGGCCGCTGCCTCGAGGAATGTGGGTATTATTATGACTGGGAGGAGTGGACTCATTTAGACTAACATATTCATCTTGACACAGCCAGGTTTCAGTGAGACTGAGTAAATCAATATGATTATCTGATATTAATTCGTTTACTAACACTGCTTTAGACGATAGAGACCTGATATTTAACAGTCCGCATTTAATTCTCCTGTTTTGTCTTTCTATAACAAAACATCAGTTAACAAACTCTCACAAAAGTCTCATTTATCCAGTCATATGTCCAGTATTTCCCAAAGAGACGGCCCAATCCGACTGAACAGATAGTACAACTTAGTCTCTCATCAAAAGCCAGACTCCACTTGGTGATAATGTGAGCTGCTGGTTTACCACTGCCTCAATCGAAAGTTTGTTTGTGTTATTGTGTAACTTTGGTGTTTTAAAGGGTTAGTTCAGATTAACCAAAGTCACACAGTAAAGCGGGATTTATACTTATGCGTCGGAACAATGCCGTAGCTACGGCGTAGGCTCTGAGTCAACATACAGCCTACACCTTACCCTATGCTGTAGCTTGACGTGCACCTCCCCAGAAATGTAACCAAACGTTGCAACAACGCTGCCCTCCTTTCTATTTTTGTAAGCTGAAACAGTTCCCCTCAGTGGAAACAAAGTTTTTATTTTCTTTTATTTCACAAATAAGAAACAATAAATTGTGGAGACAATAAAGCCTCCACCAAATAGCATTTTAATTCTTGTGTGTGATTCTCCACCAGTCGCTAGGCTAATCTATACAATGTAAAATGTCATAGGCTTGTGCTAATAACATTAGCATGTTGTATTTGAGGGGAAAATGTGTCCAGATAAAGACAAGTGTTTGTCTGTGAATGCTGCGAGTTATAGTGAAGCTGATCTGTGTACTTGTGTTTAAAATCATTGCTATTAAGCCATGTTTAATATGTGTTTTGAATAAAGTAAATTTCATAGCACTTCACAGAAACCCCACCACCGACTAGTGTTTTGGAGGTGCAACTGCAGAGTGACACAGACACACCACCGCACATGTATAAACGCTCACAGCGGCGTAGGCCACATGCGTAGGCTACGGTGTAGGGTCTGCATTGAGCTGACGCACAAGCATAAATCCACCTTAACACAATTAATTTAACTGATAGAGGCAGCGGTAGACCAGCAGCTCCTCCATTCAGCGAGGTAAAATTACTGTATTTGTCAATGGAGTCTGGCTTTAAAGAGAACATACAGTAGATAAGTTTCACTTTCTCTTCAGCTTCCTAATGGACGAGGCTGTCTGTTGGGAACACTGAGTGTACGACTGGATAAGTGAGACTTGGATTACACTACTGTACAAGTTGTGTGAGAGTCTGTAAACAGATGGTTTGATTAAATTTTGCTGTTGTTGAACGCAGTTGTCTATGACTTCAGTTCATCAAGAATTTTCTCAGGTTTTGGATTTTTCATTCACCGAAGGTATGTGAGAAAAACAGAATTCAACCCAACACGAGATGAGTAATTGATATATGAATTATCATTTGGTGGGTGAAGTATTTCTTTAAGAATCTATTTCAGCGGATAAACCTTCAGACTTAATCATTCCTGACAAGTTAATTCTCCAAGTTTTGTGCAATAATTCTCAAGTTAAATTGTTGTCAGTGTAATTGCCAGAGTCCGCTGTTTTAATGGGGCACCTGCTGAGCATTCATCTGTGCGCTAACGTTTGGGTTCCCTTTAGCTTTTCACTCATTCTGTGGTGCTATAAAATCATTTCTTAATAGATTTTTCTCTGAGGTATACACAAGTTCTCTCTTGAGACCAGCGTTATCAGTATTTGGTGTGGATTTATGAAGCATAGAATTCCAATTACAAAAGTTGCAGTGTAAAAAAAATTACACGTATGTTTTACTCAGTATTGTTATAATTCTGTAACTCTAACCCTGGACTGAGAATAACATGTTTAGTCTTAACATATCCATCTGTACACTCTCTCTATCTCAGCCCTTCTGTTCTTTGTGTTTTATGTGCCTTGCTGTTGCACCTCTTCTCTGTGCTGTTTTTGTTGTCTGTCTGTTGGTTTTATATTGTTGTGATTTCAACTTGATGTGACCTTGGATGTTTGTTACAGCAGCCTCACAGCAGACAAAGCTCTATACTGTTAGATATTTTCCTTGTTTTAATAAAATCAAGTGAAAATGAAAATATGGTAATAAATTCCAGTTCCTGTTGTTCAAAGGAAAAAATCTAGCTCTTAGTTAAATATGTGAAAATAAGTACAGTGGGTAAACATTAGGATAACATAATGATAAATGCATTGAGCTCATTTCCTTATCCCTTGGATGCTCATGTGCTGTATGGACTCCAGTTAAAGTACCCATGGACTATCTCTTCACACCATGGGCTTTAGTTTCGCAGACCGGGTGAGGCGGGGGCGCAGCGCACCTGCGCTTCGCCAGCTGGGTGTGGCCAGGCGGATTTTGCAAGTTTGGTACACTGTGTGCCTGGCGCAGCTACTCTTCTTTCAAACCTCCGTCTCTCCTACCTGCGCAAGTCAGAAAGAGGGAGGAGAGAAGGCGTGGAGTGGGTTTTACACACATCACACCAATCAAATGAGCCCCTCTCCTCGCCCTTAAATGCACCGCGCGAAGGCGTAATGAGAGTTTACTCAATTCGCCATGGCAGAAGAGAGCAGCAGCATCAGACGGCCAAACTTCTCCCAGGAGGAAACTGATGTTTTGGTCCGGGAGGTCCAAGCTCGCGGTGTCCGAATATACGGAACTGTGAGCAGACCTCCACGGGCTGATGATGCAAAGGTAGCCTGGGAGGAGGTCACCACAATCGTAAATCAATGTTGCGTTTCTCTCGTGCATGCGCGCGCTCTCTTTCTCTCTCGCAGTCTCACTCTGTTTCTTTTCTTTTGACTTTTCTAAGATGACAGATGCTGAATATATACTCCCTGTCTGATGCTGTGGCTGTTTGTGTTTGGCTGAGAGGGATGTGAACTCATTAGTTTGCAGGCTGTGTTAATCAAATCAGGTTGGGTTTCCATTACGCGTGCCAAACGTGCCAAACGGTGCCAATCCCCTTTGATCTGACATCACATGTGAAGGGACAGTCGGTATAGAGATACATTTATGTGCTGATTGCAGATAGTTGCATTGAATAGTGGTTTTTTGGGGTATTTATTGCATCGTTAATGTGCCTGACATTCTGGAAACCTGCCTGTGAGGTTTTGGTGACGTGTGCGCACTGTCTGCCGGTCAGCCAAACTTCGGCTTACACCGGCTGCGCTCCCCCTGCACTGACAGTAGACCTGGTTTCAGCTGGCGAGCTTTTAGCGCACCTTCGGCGAAGCCTTTTGGCACGAAACTGTCACTGCGCCAAGCTGGATCTGTCGACACCTCCCCCTGCTGCGCCGCCACACCCATCTCAGTGCACCTCGGTCTGCCTAACTACCAAACTGAGCACAACTCGGGTTGTGCTGCTCGAAACTAGCTCTGTGTGGGGTTCGCCACCTTGCGCCACGCTGCGCCGGGAAACTAGAGCCCCATGTTTGACAAGGGAAGTTAAAGGAACAGTGTGTAAGATCTAGGGGATTTTAGTGGCATCTAGTGGTGAGAATTGCACATTGCAACCAGCTGAAACTTCTCCACGTTCTTTCAGTGTTCATTGTTCAGGAGGTCTTTAAAGAGAGCCAAATTATCTGCAGAGGTCTCTTCCTCTCCAAAATAAACAGACCTGGGGATTTAAACCTGTAAAAACTCTGAAAAATTAGCATCACGTTACAAATCAGTGTTTCTTTGATGGTGTTTGCCATGTTGGAGATGGGCTGCTAGCCTAGTGACTGCTAATGTGCGCTTACTTTTTTTCTCTGATAACTTAAGATCCAGACATTAGGGAGGTTTTTATCGGTAGACAAATTATCCGCAAAAGTTTCTTCCTCTCCAAAACAGACACACCCGGTAATTTAAACCGGTAAAAACACTCAATAAAGCATAAGTGAGAATCTTCACCGACACATGAAAACAGGTATGGCCCTATCTAATGGCAGTAGCTCAGTCCATAGGGACTTGGGTGGGGAACCGAAGGGTCTGCGGCTCAAGTCCCTGTCTGGGCCAAATGTGGACTGGTAGCTGGAGAGGTGCCAGTGCACCTCCTGGGCACTGCCAAGCTGCCCTTGTGCAAGCTACTGGACCCCCAACTGTTCTGGGCGCTTGCCCAAAGGCATCCCCCTCGCTCTGACACCCATTTAATGCAAGTATAGGTCATGTTTGTTCTTCTGTGTGTATTTCAGACCTGTGTGTATGACAACAGAGTGAAAAAACTGAATTCCCCCTCAGGGATTAATAAAATATATCAGATGAAAAAAAAATCTAGAGCCAGTGTTTGGTTTGTCCGCTCTGGGCCACTGTAGAAAATGTAGATACAAACGGCTCGCTCTAAGGTAACAAAAACACAATGATTCTGATTTTCACACAGAAGATAACATACTTATTATATTATATTTAATTTCTGCCCATATATCCCTCTAAATCTTACACACTGGACCTTTATAACTTTCAAATGTACATATTTGCCAATCATTTAAAAAAGAAATTGATGCCAGTCAGTCCCACCATACTGTGTCTGTGGGGTTTTTTTCTTTTGAATTGCCTCACAATTACATTGTCAGCATGGGATCCATTTCACAGAAAAGCATTAGTATGCAGTAAAATGCTTTTCCTCTCTCTGAGTGCAATGTTAATGTGGAATACAAATCCTTCTCCTTTGTCTCTATACTCTCCTAGCTGTCACTGTTGTCTCGCTGTTTTACTTTAACAGATTGCAGTTCACCCATCTGGTCCCTGTGTCTCACCCAACCAAGAGCTTCCATCTGTTGATGGCGCACTGTCCGCTCACACAATATCCCCAGGTGAACAATTCCCATGTATGTCTTCCGAAACCACGCTTCAAACTAATTCGTCCTTTGTACTCTGTGCCAGCGAGTCGGTCCAGCCAAATAAGTCACAGCCTTTACCCAGACTCCACTGTGAATTAGGAAACCAAACGTCAGAGCAGCCCATAGACAGTAGTCCCTGTGCACTGCTGCCTGCCTCAACTCCTTCTCTACAGCAAGAGTCAAGCCCGAGATCAGACAGCTCCCAGGCTGGCGGAGAGGAAATCCCATCCTCAGAGGCCTCGTGCATGCATCTTCCTACCACAGAGATGAGTCTGTGGCCAACAACGGGAGAGGAGGGATCGACCGACAGCCCCCCCAGTCGTCCTCGTCTTGAACTGCCCGCTGAGTGCGTCTCTGCTCCCAGTGTGACTCAGGGCTTTGAGCAAGAGGTTGCAGTGGGATTGAGTGAACTCGTTGCAGGATTATCAGAAGGTTCCACCAGGTCTGCAGCAAATCACCAAGGCGGTACGCCTGCACTCTTGTCTCCTGTGGCAGAGAGTGAGGCATCTCTGGGAGCAGAAGGTGAAGCTCCACCGTCACCTGAACTCACAGAGAGCCAAAACATAGCTCTTCAGCCTGCCTCAGCCCGGGAAGAGAAGGAAGATCCCCCCCAGATTTCCCCAGACACATTATTAGAGAATCTACCAAACACATTGTCCGAGCTGCAGCCCGAGTATGACGTAAACAGGATTCTGATGCCACCTGTCATCTTTCTGAGTGGAGTCGTCTCCCTCTCGATAGCGATGCAGGACCCCAGTGCCCTCTTCCTCATCGGACTACTATTGGTCTTGCACCGTTTGTGATTATGCCACAAAAGCTTATTCTGATCTGTTCTCAAGTGAAGTGCCTTTTCATGATTCCAAAATAAGCCAACAAGTTAAAAAAAAAAAAAAAACACGGATCTCCTGTTGAAGTTGTGTATCACTGTGTGAGTTTAGATGAGTAGATATTTTCATTAAAAGAAAGGGTACAATTTACAAGTGTTTCAATGCAAAGTCCAATGCAAGGAGAAAGTAATTACACAAATATTAAACATATTTTCATGCATTTTGTCAAACAAGTGTTCGATATTAGAATAGTAGTTAACTATTACCCTATTTCTACATCAGCATTGTGATCACTCTAAAGCACAGCGTATCGTTAGAGATGTTTTGTAAGTGGTCTGATATTACTTTTTTCTTGTCATGTGGAGATAGTGTACGTGGTGTTATATTCTGATTTAACAATCAGTCCTATAATGCGCTTGTTTTTTGTTTTTCTTTTGTTGTTGTTGTTGTGAGCGTAGCTAAGGTTGTTGTCTGACCCCACTGCCATGACTGAACTTTTGTGAATTCCATGTGTTGGTATGTCTTTAATGAAGGACAGAAAACATGACCACAGTGGGACACTAAGGAGACTTGTTATACAAATGGTATTTTGTTTACAAAATGCAAAAGCAACACGTGGTTATGTGAAGTATTTTTGCCTTAATGCCCACAGTAAAAATCAGTTTGAAATAGATGCTGCTTAAAGTGTGATGTGTGCAGTGGCGCCCACAGAAATTTTTCACAGAGGAGGCCAGATGGGGACATGGAAAATCTTGGGGTGGCACATTGAAACTAAAAGCCATAACTGAATTTCAGGAATTCCTTTTTGCTTAGCCCAGTCGAAAACTATGTCAGTATGGAGAGGTAGGAATCACATAATGATATACTTTGGTTTCTTATTTTATAGTTAATATTAGTAATTATTTGATGTACATAGACTAAAGCAGGATTTATACTTGTGCATCAGCTCTATGCAGACCCTATGCCGTAGTCTACACATGTGGCCTACGCTGTTGTGAGCATTTGCACTTGTGCGGTGGTGTGTCTGAGTCACTCTGCAGTTACACCTCCAAAACACTAGTTGGCGGAGAGGTTTCTGTGAAGTGCTATAAAGTTTAGTTGATTCAAAACACACATTAAACACACATTAAACATGGCTTAATAGAGACAATTTCAATCACAAGTACACAGATCAGCTTCACTATAACTCGCAGCATTCACAGACAAAGCATTTGTCTTTATCTGGACACATTTCCGGCTAGCAGACTTTTCTTCTACTCATATGAAGCCAGGAACAACAGCAACATTTACACAGGTCATGTTACAAAATTTGGTTCCATTACAGCTCACCGACAAAACAACTGTTTTATATTGAAACGCGTTTTCCGAACAAATATAACATGCTAACGTTATTAGCACAAGCCTATGGCATTTTACATTCTATAAATTAACCTAGCAAATAGCAGAGATTTCCTCTGCTCATATGAAGCCAGGATAAATCACACACAAGACTTGTTGTTTTGTGGAGGCTTTATTGTCTTCACATGGTTTTCAGCTTACAAAAATAGACAGGTCTGCTTTGCCGCGACTTGTAGTTTTATCTCTGGGGAGGTGCACATCAGGCTATGGTGTAGGGAACAGAGTAGGCTCTACGTCGACACAGAGCCTACGCCGTAGGTACGGCGTTGATTTTAACACAGAAGTATAATTTCTAAATAATACCGGCACAGTTAACATTTTGAGTTCCACAAAAATCCTGTTTAAATGCGTTAAGTAGAAAGCAGTTTTGAACACGGTGGTAGGGGTATGAAGTGGTTGCCACCCGTGTGAATGCACACAGATTTTGTTCTGCCACTCAGAGTTCACTGTGTTGAACTTATTGTGGTTGCTGCATGGATTCGGCAGATTTAATAGCGGGCATCCCGGAAGTAGAAAGACCTTGTTATTAAGGAGCTGATAATGTTAGTGTCTGAATACCCGGAGTTGCAGTGGTAGCAACTTAAAAGGACAACCAGAGGAAGAACTGGGCCTGGGATAACATTTCCAACAAACTACAAATGACTGATAAATTGTCCAAATATGTAGAAACGTAGTAATTTCAGTGATTTCCATTGTCTTGCTACAGTATTTTGGACTATAGTGGCAGTGGCCGCTTTTGAAAACACTTTGCTTTTGGGGGAACACTCGTGCAGGTAGGCAGTTGTCAGGGCGTTTAGTGCGGGGCAGTGTTAAAGCAGCTTTAGGCGATTTGTTTTTCTTTATATCAGCTGGTTGTCCTTTTTCTTAAGAAGACAAATACACAACCTTAATCTTAAGGAGTACATAGATTGTAAGGGACAAAACATTTATTGGGAACAAGCCATTTCAAATTTAGGACTGCGCCACAACCTCTTAAAAACACTAATGTTGGCTCCCAATTATTTTCACAGCCATGGCCCCCCTGGCCCCCCCGCTTAAGTGGCGCCACTGGAGATGTGAAAGTTATATTTATCATTAGAGAACACCAGCCTCTTCACTATTGCACATTTCATTTGATATGTCTTCCTGTTGATTCTTGCTAGTAAACCCATATTGTTGTTGTTGCACAACACAAACATTTTATAGCACTACTGTGGCAACCTCACAGACAGGCTGAGGCACTGAATGACATGTTTGAAGTGATGAAAGTTTTTGCAGTGTATTGCCATTAAACGTGGTCCTATATCCTGTACCGCTGTGCGCCTTTGTTTATTTCTTTGTCTTTTCATCCGCTCTGCAAAATTAATGTGTGCATGACAGTTCCATGCACAGTAATGACACTGCAGTGCAGAGAGACTGACGCGCCACAAAAATAACATCAGAGCCTTTAGCGCCTCTGTCTTGCACATCCAGCCTTGCTTGAAGTGGAAATACACAGCCGGCAACATGAGCTGCAGATAGAAGCCAAAGGTCATGCATTGCACTGAAGTCATAGTGTCGTGCTATAGAGCATACTGGGTATTGTACTGTAAGACGAGATCAGTGTTTTAAAGCTGACAGTCCTCAGGAAACCTCCTCAGATTCTGCAAGATGAGATGTCACAGACTATTTCTGATCATAGGCTGATATCTTAAAGACATCATCTTTATTTTATGACCATGGGAGCCTATAAGAGTTATATAAACTACTTTAGTGTTTTCCTGCTGAATTAATCTACTGATTTAGTTTATTAACTTCAAACCCACAACCGTCCTTGGGTGTCAGGTATCCTTTGGATTATGTGAGATTATGTATTTGGCCTTAAAACAAAATTATTAATCACACACACACTTGCATTTCACAGACTTAAGCAGGGAGAAGGGTCGGAGTGATTAATTTGTGTGATGGTTATATAGCTCTAGAGTGGAATGTATTAAAAATTTAAGCAGACTTAGAACTGACCCAAGGAGGATAATCAGTGTGAATTCTACAACAGGCATTCACTTTGAAATAATTAATGTCCTGTTAAGCAACACGCATTGAATGCCGTGTTAAGTAGTGATTTCAAAAGAGGTTCTGTTAGTGTTGCGACATTTTTACCAAACAGAGGTTTAGGAGGTGAAATTTAGTTTTTTTCCAATGAAGCTATTTCATCACAAGAAACAGTTAAAACAGTGAAGAGTACGTGCTTTTACTTAAAGGGACAGTTCACCCCCAAATTAAAAATACATATTTTTCCTCTTACCTGTAGTGCTATTTATCAGTCTGGATTGTTTTGGTGTGAGTTGCTGACGGTTGGAGATATCAGTGGTAGTGATGTCTGCCTCCCTCCCAATATAATGGAACTAACTTGTGGTGCTTAAAGCACAAAAAAATACAGTTAAAAAAACTCTCTCTCTCTCCAGAAATCATGACCTGGTTACTCAATAGACCTTGTTGTGAGCAGTTTCATGTCAAAACTATTTTCTCTCTACCAAATCACAACCGCCAACTGTATCACCATGCACCTCGAAGGACAGAGGATCTATACAGTCAGCACAGTTTCAAGGTGGACATCCAATGTTAGTGTCACCAATTAAGTATCTGATGAAAGTCTTCCCCTTTGTTCCTAAGTTATGATGTTGAGTAAGTGGTAGAAAAGTGTTTTTGCAAAACAGTATGATGTCACAGTGAAGTTGACTTTTGACCCTTCGGATGTATAATGTCATCACTTTGTCATTTTATTTCATTAAAATGTGAAATTCTGTCATAATTCACGGATACATTTTTGAGTTATGGCCAAAAATATGTTATGTTATGTCACAGTGAGCTTGATCTTTGACCTTCAACCACCAAATTCAAAGTAGTTCATTCATGAGCCCAAGTGGACGTTTGTGCCATATTGAATGAAATTCCCTCAAGGTGTTCTTAAGATACTGCATTCTCAAAAATGAGATGGCACAAGATCACAGTGACCTTGACCTTTGAATTTCGATCACCAAATTCTAAGTAGTTCATTATCGAGTGTGAGTGGACATTTGTGCCAAATTTTAGGAAATTCCCTGAAGGCGTTCTTGAGATATCGCATTCATGGGAATGAGACGGATGCAAGGTCACATTGAATTTGACCTTTGACCACCAAAATCTAATCAGGCATTTTTTACTCAAAGTGGAGGTTTCAAAGTATTCTTGAGATATTGCGTTCACGAGAATGAGACAGACGTGGTCACAGTGAACTTGACCTTTGGCTCTTGACCACCAAAATTTGTTTGTTTAGTCCAGGTGAACATTGGTGCCAAATTTGAAGAAATTCCTTCAAGGTGCTCGTGAGATATCACATTTTGAGAATGGGACAAACGGACAACCCAAAAACGTTATGCCTCTGCCCGTGGCTATCACCAGCGCTGAGCCTTAAAAAACAATGACACAATAACCAAAACCCTGTTGGGGGTATTAAAAGGAAGGTTTTGCCTTAACAGTCACAAAATGGGTTGAATCAGCTTTCACTTGTGGTAGGAACAGGATTTCACCTCTTTATCATCAGTCACCACGACCCAGGGAGCGTGCTGGCAGTCGAGGGAAAATCTGGCCTCTAACATCAAAACAATCAGTCAACCCTCTAAGCCACATTCAGGACCTCAACGCATACAAATAAGA